TGCTTTGGTTACTTGATCTTCCATTTGCTTCTCTCTGCAGAAAATGGTTCTGCAAAACATCTGGTGCACCAACCCTTCTCATTAGTTCTCAATGCTGAGAAACTCCTGTTCCCACCTCCAGTCTTGTAGTGCTAAAATGGGATGGGAGAGGGGGTGTTCTCCTTGGAAAGGAGTGCTCTCGGCTCCTTCAGGCTAAGTGTTAATAATGACTATATACAGTGGTTTAGATTTTCTATCTACTGTACAAACATTAGCTAATCTATCTTCCCAGAATTTCTATGAGGTAGGTAAATAAGTATTTATATCTCTATTTTACAGATTGTCACAAAGTGGTTATGTGACTTGTCCATGGTCTCATAGCAAAACAGCATCAGAATCCAGGCTACAACCATATTCCTTGAATTCCTGTCCCCTCCCCACCCAATCCACTACATCACATATTCCCCAGGCAAGTTACATCTCTTTCTCTGTGTCTCAGTTTTCCCATACCAACCCTAACTTACATGCACCACATTTGTTTCATTATCTGACACCAAGAACTCGAGAGAGAGAACATCTAGCCACCCCTCAGTTTCTGCAACATAGTGTACACAGTATGAGGTTTTCGGTAACTGTGCACACTGAATGTAACTTCCTATTGTGTACTATCACAATATGGACTCCCCACACACACATACACCATCTCCCTGCCCTTTATCACAATATTATTTTACTGTTTTTATTCTCAGAATAAGACAGTCAACAATTGTAGTTTAATCTAAATTACATAATGTGCTTCTAAAGATAACATGAATATTTTTGTGAAAAAGAATAGTACATACTAATTTTAGACTGCACAACAGTTCCATTTTTGCTGACAATTGGGTGAGGCTCCCTTCTTTTTTTTTTTTTTTTTTTTTTTTTTAGTAGAAGCTATATTACAAAGTGTGGAGACTAGCAAAGTGTGAATTAGCAAGGTTGTACTGTATGGGTGGGTGATTTCTGTTTGGTGTTTGTGAAATAGTGAGGATATGTTCAGATAAAGGAAACTGATGTGTCATAATCAATGAGAGAAGCACAAGAGTCACAAACACTTTCCTGCTGAAAGGGGAGCAGATTCAATTTGTTGTGGGCCCTCTGGTTAGATTGGATTTTGACTCAATTTAAGGTAATTCACCAATGGCTGGTGCAAATGCTGTTCCTCCACATAAAGGACCCTAATCCACAAGCATCTGAAGAGACTGGGGGAGAATAGAGTCACATTCTGTGGAAAGAGGCAAGTCTTCCCCCCGCCTGAATGATTTGAAGGAAACTACACCTGGGGACACTGATTTTCTCTCCTTTCAGGCCCCTCCTCATGACTATTTACACTGAAAGGGCAATCTACAATTCACATGGTTAAATCCAGGGCAACCACCTCAACCGCTGACAGCAAACAGAGAATAACTTCAACAGACCTGAACTAGAATTCTTAAGGATTAAAGCCAATCAGAAACATCTGATGAAAAGGTTTGAAATTATACCCTTTCACTAGTGCCATCCACCTCCACAAGAAACAGAACAATTCATTACAGTGTGGATGAATGGCTGACTCTGGTGATCGCTTCTAGGGCCAATTAAAGGGGTTAACTGAGCCATGAGAGTTCATAATGAATCCAATTCCTTTCCCTCTATTTCTTTCTATAGCTTGAAGATAAAGTAAGGGTGTAATATATAAGCTCTGAGGGTTTATATAGTGACAAATGGCTATATTACTACTAGCAATAATAGGTCTTTGTCCCAGATACTAGAGGCTTTGCTGAGGTTCCTATTTCTTTATAACATCATGAAAAAGAAAGAACATGAGATGTGTAAGCACTGTGGTCCCATGTATTGACAAATGGGAATGGTGCCATTGCCAGTAATAATTCTTTGTCTAGTAACCAGAAGCCCATTATTTCTTTGGTCTCTCTCAAAGGGGACATAAAGTATGGTCAGAACAGGTGAGAAGAGATTCAAAATCTTAAATTCTGCTTTACGCCTATTTTTAAAGCAACTTAAGTTTCATTTTTTATTTACAAATATAAGTGGACAAACAATATACTTTTATAGACACCCATCATACATGATAATACTGAGAAGTTGCAATACATTCAAAATACTTAATAAATGAAATCTAATTAAAAATTTTTTTGAAATCACTGTTTCCAATTAATAAATGTGGTACACTAATGACAAACAAAGTGCAAGTACATGGAAGGATGTAATTTTCCTCTCTCTCTAGCTATCCCAGCTCTGTTGATATTTAACATATCATAGCTCTGCTTAAGAGGGACCAGGTTGATACACTTGAAAAATGTTTCACTGTTTACATTATCCATTGATTGTGGCTTAATATTCAGTGCCTGTAAAATCCTTAATACATATTAATAACCTCCACTGGCATAAAAAAAAAGAGTTAAAAAAACTACCTAGTCTTGTGTGGCTCATTTAGCACTAGATAGATAGATAGATAGATAGATAGATAGATAGATAGATAGATAGATTAAATAACCAGATATGAATATTCAACAAAGGATACAGAATTTGATATTTTTCAAATTAAATATTAATGTATCTGATAAAAGCAGAAGAGGTGAAGGTCTGTCAGCAGAGTTTTATAGAAGTTCTATCTTTGTCAAAAATTTTGTATAATATTAGACTGATGGCATAAAGTAAGGATTCCTGATTTCCAACCAATGTGACAATTGTGGGGTTTTCAACTTTTTTTTCAACAAATTGAAACATTCAAACTATTATAATACAAGAAATATTAAAAATCAATAATAGTAGGAGTGAAAGACAACAGGGTTGGGTTTTTTTTAAAAATTTATTTATTTATTTTTAACAGGAAAACATCTGTTTGGTTATCTATCATTTAAAATTAGGCCTTTTTAAAAATTGAGTATAATTATAATTAGTTATATCACCCTCTTTCACAGCAAAACTTGGGGCGAAGGAACCAGACGAATAAAAACTCTGTGAGATTCCCCCTGTAATTTCCTGCAATATCTTCTATTTATGGCTCACCCCTACAGGGGAAGAAGCAGAACTGACTTCAGTGGGACCAGGATTTCACTTCTGGTTTCTACTCTGTGTTGATCCACTTTCAAGCTCAGTGCTGAGCACTGGTTCCATGGTTAACATAGCTCTCCCTGGAAGTGCACTAGAGCTATGATACTAGGACCTTCTCTACCATTGTCTGTCCCTGGAACCTCTAATGAAGGGGATTACACTATGCAGAGGGTTGGAGAGGGAGGGAAACAGAAGAGGTAACACAGCCTGGGGGCGTATTATCTTTTTGATGGAGTTCCTACTCGATGTCCTGGGAAAGAACAATACATGGTCCTACCCTTGACCTGCCTCACAACATGTGGAACTTCAGAGCCGAGGAATTTCTTCTGAAATATCTCTGGCAGAAGGAGATGGTGCCATGGGGGTGGCTGACATCATCTTTTGCCTGTTGACCTAGATGTGACAATTGCTCAATACTGTTGTTGGGGAAAAGCCACAGTATGTTAAATGTTTCCTATTGGATTAGTGAAGAGACATCTCTCATAAAAGCTCTATACTTTGGATGGGTACCTTATAACAATAAAGCCTGAGCTGACCTCACTCACATCAATGTAAGTCAGGTGTAAGTCAATTTATGCTAATGGAGTAACACTGATCTAAAATTGGGGTAAGATAATCAGTTCCACAGTTTCCATAGACTTCTAGCAAAACTTCTGAATGAGTAATTACAGTGCATGGGGTTTAATACACTTATTATAAAAACCTTTATGATGTAATTAACTTTAATGGTACCTTTAAATATTACATATTTTTAAAAACATCTCTAAATACCACTATTGTTAATTTTAGAGCACCATCAGTATGTGTGGCTCTGGACAATATGTGGATAATATTTTTATAAACATAAGGAAAAATCACATAGGCCCCACTGAAGTTAATGGCAAGACGCCCAAGGACTTCAATGGGGGCCAAGATATCATTCATAATATTTCTTTTTTACAAAATAAATGATGTTATCCTACATGCCAGATCAATGAATACCTACTATTAAACCATAAATGATTATATTCGAAAACATTACTATGCATATGCAAATATACAAGGCCATTTCGAACAAGGAATCAAACTTCCTCCTTAACATTCCCTATTGGGCAATCCCACATGCTATATATTCTGTGGGCTCTGCATAAATATGAGTGTGTAACTCTTCAGTATGCATCGGGTGCTGCTCATACATTTGAAAACATGGGTGTTAATTTCAGCCTCACTTTGCCCATCTCTCAGATAGATATAATAATAATTACCACACAAGGACAGTGTGAAGAATAAATAATGTTTATAAACACATGGAGATCATTGGAGGAAGGGCACTTCCTGTGTAAAGTATTAACATATCCTAGGAATGCTATTATTGGATTTATCCAATGATTTCCAATAATCAGAAATCTATAGGGCAAGAGATTTCTAAAATAGGCCCAAACACTTTCTTATTTAGTGATATGTTAACTTGACTTGAGAAAACAAAGTATTTTTTTTATTATAAAGGAGAAATTTTGGTGTTAAATTACATAATCCATTTTAAATAAATCCATTGTAACACCAGACAAATATTTCTCTGTGCTATGACAAAATGGCTCTGGAATTAGCATAATCTAGAATATCTCCCCTTTTAAATGAAAGTAAGTAAAGAACATAGTTCAAAAGATACAAAAAGAAGCAAAAATAACAGTCACTTTTTAGATATTAGGTTGCAAGTAAATATAAATATAGTATTTTGTTTGAGGTAAAATTAGTATGGCTGTCCAGTACTAAGTCACATTTTTAGTCTATCAATTGTGAATGCAACTATTGATCTATGGGCAATAATTAAAATGAAATTTGGTCCCATAACTTTAGAACAACGGAGTGACTGGATTGCAGGTTGCAATTTTAAGGGTTTTGTAATTAGACAGGCATGCACAAACTAATCTATAAATTGGTATTCATACCGTCATAAATCCATCCAGCAAACCTGAATCAGGTTTAGGAGGCGCTTGCAATCGTTCCATGGACCACTTTTCAATGATGGAGGCCACCTGGCTGTTCTCTGTGTTTAAGATTCTGAATCCAGTCATGTTAACACCACTATACCGGTAAGGTTCCACATCAAGAGCAAAAAGGTCCTGAAAGAGATGTTTGTCACATAAGTGCTTTATATATGTCATTTCTTAATTCAGGTTTTAACCACCTCCATGGAGATAAGCACTGTAATGTGCCATGATCTTATACACACATAACTCCAACTGATGCTAGTGGGAGTTCCCTGTATGTACAGAGGAAAGAACATATCCCACAGTCATAAACAAATCACATTAGGAAAAAATTAAGCCCAGCAGCTGAAATTTCTAGTTACAAATACTCCATAAAACTTAATCAAACTTGAATATTATTTGCTAATTTAATAATCCTTTTTTCTATAGTTCAGATACTGAATTTAAATGACAAAATAAAATAAAATGACAGATTCCCTGCACTTTCCTCAGACTATTTCTCTCTGCTAAGCATTATCCACTCTTCCAGTTTTTATCTTGCTCTATTTGTAACATTATTTTACCTTAATGAGCTACAGAACACCTTGTAGAGAATTAGTCTCCATTGTCTCAAAAACAGAATAAATGTTAAAGCTCATTATTAAATTAAGACATTTTCAGTTGGATGTTGTAGAACAATGCATATCCCCAAGTAACTTTTTGCATATTCTGTCTTTTATATATCTTCCATACCGATCTATCACTGAATACAATATTTTCCTGTTCTGCAGAACACATAAATATCTTTAATTAATCTGAGCTATTCATTTCTCTATAGTATTACAACATTTTAATTAAGATATTTTCTAAAAGAAAAAAAGTCATATCTTTAGGGGGAAAATAAGGTTAAAAAAAAGAAAAATAATTAAAAATTTCAGATGGAACAAAAGTGATTTCAAGATCCCAGTCCTTCACTGTGATCCTCCAGTGCAGACCTCAGTACCTCTGGGGTGTCCAGAGATCTTCGCTAGGGAATCCTGATGCAGAATTGGGACTTAAATATGAAGTTCATGAAAAATATAACTTTTATGACTCAGTAAGCAGAGTCAACAGGCAGAAAGTGCTTCAATACTACATAGTAGGCTTCACCAAGACTGTTCTTTTTTCTGATTTCCTTAGTAATGTGTTTAGCGAAGGTGATACAGACCCTTATTTAGCAGTCCTGCGCCATATTATGTTTTGACAAACACTGCATCCTCCATACATTTCAACCTACGGTGTTTGGCCTTCATTGCCCATTTAATATATTCTAGTTTTCTCTGAAATTATAATGTTAGGGCTGATATTTATCAGAATGCATTCATTTAACCACTGAAGAGACAGGAGAGCAATAACCAGGAAAGCAGTATATGATGAATTGCTCATTGTTAACGTTAGAACTCACACCTAATCTCAAAGATTTCCAGATTCCAATTAGGGTTTATGGTATTATTTTTCATATACAATGTATAGGATATGTAGAGTACTTAATTTGTGCCAAGGCTTACCTGAGCTGAGCCACAGCATCTCTTGGTTTGGCAGTTCATAGCCCCAGCACCTGTGGGCTTGCTGCATCAGTTATGAATATAAAAAAATTGCTTGAGGTTCAGCACCTAATTGCTTGAGCCCCAGAACCTCTTTCATCACAAATTAAGTGCTGGATATGTAGGAATTCAGAGTGTGCCTGCAGTTTGACATCTATTTATAAATTTCCATACTTTTGTCCTTATTCTAAAGACGTTGTACATTTTAACAGAATAGCTAAAAGTAATGAGAACTATGTTGCAGTAATGCTGTACACTTACAGGATTTCTTTCCCTTCAAATTTCAGATGCTTTCAAACATCTGCACAAAAATCCCCCGACCTCATAACGAATTATTTAATCCAAACACATTCATGTTTATACAAAAGTATAATAAATATACACAACAGCTCAGTGTATTAATGAGCTAGTGCATTAGGCCCCTGAATCAATCACTGGAGAATACAGTTCTGAAGACTGCTTTAAATGCTGTGATTGGAAAATTTATTTGACAGGACTTTCACTGTGTCATGTAAGAAGCAATTAATAAATCAAAGCAGCTGAAACTCTGTTGCAAGTTACAGAGCTCTATTGCAGCATCAAAATCCATCATCTGCTGGTGTATGCCAAATTATCCTTTGCTCTCACTGATTCAAGCTGGTCCTTCACTAATCTAAAGAAACTAGTGTTCCAAGAAGCAAATGGAAATATTTAATTTCAGCAAAATCCTGATTTTAAAATTTAGTAAAAAGTCCATTCTAAAATATAAAGCAAAGAACCAACTACAATGAGATAGAAAGCTCAAGTCACTCAAACCAGCAATTCTCACCAATGAAACAAATGAAAATACAATATACAAAATTAAAACTGAGAAATCTGGAATCATTTGGTCAGTCTGAGAGCTCTGACAAGGTGAATTATAAACTGTGTGCAATTCCAGCATCTCTGAGTTCCACAAAGGCCCTAAGCATTCTATCATTTACTTTTCCAAAGAAAAGTTATGGTTATGCAAGATCTTCTCTGCTTTTAGTAACCTAATGAGGTTCATCTTTAAGAATTATTTCATTAAAGGCCAGTACTCAGACTGTTCCAGTGCTGCTGTTTTCCATGTTTTGCAATCTCTACACTGTGATTCAGTGATGACTGTTCATTGAGTCCACATACAGGTCTCATTTCAGCAAGGTACTTGAGCACATGCCTCACTTTAAACACATTACGTAGACCCTTGCTGAACTGAGGACTAACTGTGCCCATTTGAGCCATAATAGGAGTAAAATAAAAGAATGTATATAATTTGAATTTTCCTAATGTTTTCCCATTTCTCAAGGTGGAATTTTAAAAACTTCTAAATTCTTCTCTGATAGCCTTCTCATATATAGCTCAGAAGTAATGCAAAAACACATTGCTTGAGAGTAGAGCAGAGTGAATTGTGAAAAAAATTGTCACATGGATATTTGTTTAAATTTGAAAGCATATTTAGATTCAGCTTTTCCAGTTCTTGAGTTTAGCACCAAATTTTCAGCATGAATGCTCCAATATTCATCAAAGTTGATTTTTGTGTTGCATATTTAATTCCAGAACTCTCCATTCCTGCCGAGTTAGCATTTACATAAAGGAAAAGAAACAATGCCACACAGGAAATTTTAAATTGTGGGTTGCAATTATTCACAATGAATTATTTAGGACTCATCTGTGGACCAAGAATTGTTTGCTGAAGGAATTAATAACTCACTTGGAATAATGAACATATTTGAGAATTTTACAACATGTTCATGGAAAAAACAGTAAGGAGAAAAAGGACAAAACTCATAGAATAATTATTAATTGTGGATTGATTATGCTCTCAGCTCTACACAAAAATTAACATCTCTAATGCTACAAAATAATTTTCTCAGGTCTATCAGTTATCAGTGTACAATGTTGAACATTAATTAATATATCCTCATGAGTTTTCATTGGACATAACAAAACTTGATCGAGAAAACATCCCATACTCATATACCATTCCTGAGAGACCTCTTTCACATTGTCAAGTAATGTAATTAAGATGGCTAAGGCCTTTGTTCGATGTCATTAGCATGTTTTTTATAAGCTACTTACCAATGTGGTAAAGATATAATGATAGTATTCTGTCATCATTCCCATAGCTAAAGCCTAAAAAAATAAACAAAAGATTAATATTTCCGAGGTCACATAACATTTTTTAATTGCACCTTTACAACAAATTAAAAAGCAAAAGTGGAATACTATTGGGAACAGACTATAAGGTAGGAATTGTACTAAAATTAGGTCAAGCAAATCATTTCTTAATAGTTAGAACAGATTACAGACTATTAAAGGAATTTATGAACCAGATCTTCTGATAGAAAGATTATTACTATAATGTTTAGAGCTGTAATTGTGAAAGAGGCTTATAGTTCTACATATTAATGGGAGCATTAACTTGCCACACAAAATCTGAACTAAGAATATTTTACTTCATTGTATTTATAATGTCTCCACTAAATAATAACCTAATGAGAAACACAATTCTACTTTGATTAACAATATTACTCAATTAAAAACTAGAGTTAGCAAAATAAGTAGGATGTTGATTGATACACAGACAGATAGATCAACAGATCCAACTTTGGGCACTTTTACCATATTTCTTTAGCATTAATGGAGCACATCAAATATTGGTACCATTATTCAAAAAGTACAGAAAACTCACAAGTATGTCTTCCTGCCTTCCTAAAAGCGCAACACCGAATAATTTCAGCTCAGTTGTGTATTTTCAATTTCTTATATATTTTTGTTAGCAAAATAAAGGCAAGAATTCTTAAATACAGTTTTTAAAGCAGTGGGTTGGGGCTCTCTCCTCATTCTAATTCATTATTCTTCTATCTTAAAGGGCAGTTCCAATCCGAAAAGCACTCTGCACAACAGCCTCCTTTGTATATTAAGATTTATAGCCAATCATTTTAGTAACTAAAACTTTTAGTTACTTTTTTAACACTAAAAAGATAACATAGCTATGGGAGAAGAATTTGGATTCTGTTTCTTTTTGTTCGAACCCACTGATGGCAACAGGAGTCACTGTGAACAGAATTTGGAAACAATTAAATTTGTAGATATATAAGTGAGATCCTAGTTTGTCCTCCAGAAGCTTTGCTGCTTGTGACGCTGCATGAGAAGGCAAGACACAACAAGACTGTAGTTATGGGGGTGGGAAAGGTAGGAGTCTACAAGTTTGAACGGGGATTCAGTATCCTGGGAAATTGTGACATATCAGATGTTATTTCCTGGATTTTAGAAGATTTTAGACAAGAAATTTAGGCCAAAAAATAAACTAAATACACAAAAGATTGTCTACCCACAATTTATTTAGAATTCAAGTATAATTCACCAGTGGCAAGTTATATTGTGTTAAAATACCAAAAGCCCTGGGCTCCAAAAATACGCATATCATTCCCATCAACAACACACTCACACAAACACTGAAACTAAAACAGTGTCAGCACTGATTTATATGTTTTGATAATGGTTCATTTTTTTAAACATAAAGCCAGGTTGCCTTCTTTCCTGTATGTAATATAAAGCCATTAGATGCCCTGCCCACAATCAGGTCTTGCAGTTTTCAAATTCCTCACAGAAAAGTGTCCTACACATCATGTTTTATATTTTGCCATGTTGTCTCTCTCTCACTTTTTTTTTTTAATCTTCTTTCTTCACTTCACTATCTTCTGTCTCTGGCCCCCATGTCTTCCAGGTACGGAGGACATGGGGGAAGGGAGACACTAACTCTCTCCCTTCCCAGTTTTCTGTCTTCCTCACTTTTCCTCCTATGAGTGCACTTCTTTCTCCCCTCATCTTCCACAAGCCCTCGCTCAGAGTTTTCTTTCCTCACCGCCTCCATGCTACACTATTTCCGCTGGCTCTCTTGTTTATTCTCCTCCATTCTGTTCACTCCATCTCCACATTGTCTCCCTGCTCCTACTCCTTTCTCTGTATTCCAATTTCTTTCACAAAGTTTCCTTCACCTTTTTCATTCTTTTTCACCATGTTGGGGCTTCCATATGCCTCTTTGTATTTATTTCTCATTCTCTAGCCCCATGGTCCTTTCATTTATTTTCCTATCCATCCTCTTCCCCACCTCCACTCTCAAACCCTTCACTGTCCAAATCCGTCCACAGTTCTTTTCTTGGCCTTAGTATAAACTCCCTACCTCCCCAGACTTTTGAATCCATTATATAGCCCAAACAATTGACCTCCCTTTCAACCTCTCCTCCCAAGGGAAAAAATGAACCTATGTTCACAAAGTGCTAGAACTAGGAGTACAAGGGGTGCTGCAGCACCCCCTGTCTTGAAGTGGTTTCCATTATATACAGGGTGTACTGTTTGATCCAATGGCTCTCTGCACCCCCACTATACAAATTGTTCCAGCACCCCTGCCACATCCAGTTTATATGCAGGCTCTAATGTCTCTGCCCCACAAAGGCTTAAGCTTAGGACCAATCTCCTTCCTCCCCAATGCCAGGCAATGTGGTTGTGTGTTGGGAGGGAAGAAGGTGCTACCTGCCCAAGTGCAGGCAAAGTCAATAGAAATCCTATTTATTCCCTGTTGCAGGGTGCCTGAGGTGCTCATTTCCCAGCAGGGGAGCAGCCAGAACTACTCTCTCTTCTATCCCCCTGCATCAGCCAATGGGACCACTTCTGAGCAGCTGCTGAGAAGAACTTCCTGCTCACAGAAAGGATGTGGCTTCTGAGGGCTCTGAGAGCTACAGGGGAGACAATAAGAAGAAATGGTCTCCCCTACCACCTTCTTGCCTGCCACTGGGCTGAAAACCCACCTTGAATGTCACAGTGGAAAATGATATTGCTTGGCTGGCATTTAGCAAGAGCATCTTTTAAAAAACATGTATGTGTGTATGTGTGTTTACATGTAACCAGAACGCATTTGGCAAGGAGTCACCAAGAGACAGTAAACATGCAAACCCACAATGCCATTTTTACAGAGTCAATTTTCAGAGCAGAGCCTCACTCTTGGCAAAATACTAAGGTCAGCTGTTTAAAGGTGCAGCAGTGCACGAAATTAATGGCTTTAGCTGCCTTTCTCCTTAATTGTCAAAAGTGAGGCGAATGAAAAACTCTAAAAAGTAGCAAACTTTTAAATGTAAAACCTGAATTCTTATAAAATAATTCCTACTGCATATTCTGAGCAGAGTCACACTCTCGGTAGCTTGCTTACACTGTTTAAATTTGGTTAAAATAGTTTGGAATGGGAATCTTATGTTTGATAAATCCTCTCCTCTAATAAGTTAGTGAGAAGACAGGGGATAGAATGAAGATACACCTCATAAAATGTACAGGCCAGATTTTTTTTTGTTTTCTTTTTTGTTTTGTTTCTTTTTTTTCCCTTATTCCCCTCTAGCGCACACATATTTTTGCTGATACAGGATACTGTGAAAAGTCCAGTTTGCTTTTCACGTAGGAACTATCAGGAGCATCATCAATAATGCAATTTGATGGATTTATTGTTAAAGTTATTGGCTTTCAACTAGCATTAATATATATTTTCCACTTAAATCTTTGTGGTCTGTGAATAATTAAACATGATTTTAGCTAGACCGCCAATATGAGAGTGGCTTGCACATAGAAGAAAATAAGGGCAAAAGTGTTTCTTTCAATAGTAGAACAAAGTGCCACATTACTGAGAATCATAAAAGGCATTTGAATGAAGTCAGAATAAAGAAAGATCTGTATGTGCATGGGTTTTTCTAGCATATAGTATCGATTCATTAACATGCTATACCACATTTCCGTAAAATATGAGATACGGTAGTTATAATTAGCTGATTACAAAAACCTACCCTAGATTAATTTTTATTTTCTTTCCAGACAAATGCATGTATTTTTATTAGAGGAGGGTGGGAAATAGTTTTTGTATCCCACAGGCATTTTCAAGGTTTCAATTTTTTTTCCATTCCCAAATTGTGACAAAAAGTCAAAAATTGAAAATTTTCATGAACCAATCATCCAAAATAATTGTGGGTCAGGTTAACTGAAACCTTTCATATGGATAATTTCAAAATATTTCATTTCTATTTTGACATTTTATTTTATTTTTAGTGTATGTGTGTGTTAACTATAATTCTGAAAAGTCATTTTAAACCAAAACTCAAAACCCGTCATTTTAAAAGTGTCAAAATGGGACATTTCAACAAATTAAAAACTATTTTTCCAATATTTTTCAGATAAGAAGATACTTCTAAACTGACCCTTTACCCTTGTATGTCGAGTTTGACAAATTGGCATTTTTCGACACACAAATATTATGTAGGGAAATTCCTAACCAGTTCTACTTTTTATTAACGTAGATGAGGTAAAAATAAATGTGAATTAAAGTTGCTATTGAAAACTGTGAATTAATAGTGTAGGATTTTTCTTTTTGTTTCAGCTGTTTTTTTCCAATTCCAGTTTTTAACTTCAAGCTCATTAATATGATCAAATTATAAGCATTACCTCATTTTCTTGCTAAGTGGTGAAACCTCACCACTGGGTACAGCTAAGGAGTGCCTGTGTGGATTGGGAATCCTCATTCACCAAAACTACAGAGCAGCAATGGAGCTACTCAGAGACCACTACTGCAACCTCAGTGCTGCATCACCTTAGATAGGGAAGGAGGATAACTAGTACCCATTTCCCTGGCCCTCTCCCTAAAGAAGTTGGAGGATCCCAGTGGAGTACAACTGTGTAGCATACAGCTGGTGCAGAAAGTTTGGGCAAGCTCTTGTGAATTCTGCCATATGCTCCTAGCCTTCCCACCTGCACACAATGGAAATGCAGCAGTTTGACTATGTTCAGAGTCCTCTGCACTCATGGCAGAAAGGCAGAGAGAATTTGGCCCCTAAGAAAATACCCAAGGGAACTGACAGTATGAGTAATTTTCTCAGCGGAACATATTAGTGTGCTCATCTGGTAAGGAAAAGAGAGATTTAATTTACAAACATACTCAAGTGGTTTGTCAAATCAATGCAAGGTTGAGTTTTCTATTATTGAAACACACTATTGGAATCCTATTCATTTGATTATGGAATATACTAAAATTAGAAGTCTAAATCAAAATTGTTCATTGTGCAGAATAACACTAAACAAACATTCTAAATTAGCTTTCTGTTCAGAGTGCCAGTCTATGAGTGTAGAACCAACAGGACATTCATCATTATAAGATAATATAAAAGATTTTTCCAGGTAACATTTGCCTCCAGAGACTTGTAAATAAAGCTCTTGCTCCATCCCAACCAAATAAAAGAAAAATGCCTATCATTATAATCTCAGATAACATTAGCTCAGGAGGACTTGGTTGATTTTCCAGTAGAAAGAGCTCAGTAAAATTGACACACAATTTTAAAATCAGTTGAGACTACGTGTTCCTGTGATTTATTAGGAAATATACTAGGCCATCTGAAGTGATGTAGTGATTACCTGTTTTAAAATGCCTGCTGCCATTTCATGACTGCAGTCAAAGATCACATGGAACTCCTTGCCTCTTTTCATCTCCTTTAGTAAAGGCTTGGCATCCTTTGTGTCAGCTGGTAACTGACGGATTTTTAGTCTCAAGTTGTACCGCGATGGAGCCTTAATGAGCTCTTGTAATCGAATGAGGCCTTAAAGAAAATATGAAAGAGACAGGAAAGGAAAATTATTGAAACTAAAATGAAATGAACCTGGCAAGAGAAAATAGCTTATTACAAAATATTTGCAATTTCCTGATTTTTTCCTCCTTCTTATGCGTACACTACAGTGTGTATAAATTTGTGCTTAAAGAAATGTCTGGGCTCCCATTGCTTTCTTGTCACAATTCTTTTTTCTTCATTAATATTAATAGACAGTAAGCAGCCTGAGTTAGGATTACCTTCAGGAATGAAGACAAATCTTCCTTTTGCATTTTCTTGAAACTATGATATTCCTCTCTAAAGAATATATATAATTATTCTAATTCAATTACAGCAATATCCCAGACTAATAGTTTGTAATCAGACTACTCATTCTCATGACTAATCTATCAGGTTTATATACACAGTTGTAGTTCATTACAGCACCATGGAACATTTTCACATAATCCACACCAGGCTACTAACAGATTTCATTTCTCTTTCTTAATTATACAATTAACAAGCAGCTTCAAAAGCACAGCAAAAAGGGGGTAGAATAAACAGTAGGCTCGTGCCACTTCATTCCCCTTTAACGTACTACAAAACATTTTGAATTACTTATTCTCTCCCCCCCCCCCCCCGTGTGGAGTTACATACGTGGAAATTTCTCAAAAATATTTTAGTTGAAATCAATGTGACAGTGCAGAGTTGGTTTACAGATCATTGGTCTGTGACCAATACTAAACCTCATGTTGTTTAACTCTATTGAAAATGACAGCGTAAAAGCAGCTCTTCCCTAAAGTAACAGTTCATTTCAGTGTTAGCAAGAAAGATGTATTCTTATGGGTAAACTTTCTCCCTGGCATGTGGAGAATTGGGTGTGCATAACTCACTGGCAGTAATGGCTGTTCTATGCCATCAGTACTTCATATGTGATGCTTGGGACCAATTTTCCACCTACGGAAGTCAATGAAAGTTCTGTCTTTGACTTCAGCTGGAGCAGGAGCAGGCCCTAAAAGATACCTCCAATACCTGAAATTACCTACTTCCTTTCAAGATAGATCTATTAATGAGGAAGATTTATTATTATTCATGAAATGATGTTAGCGGTCATGCATTATGATCATGTGTAGCTTAACACAGAACAAAAATATGAAAATTCACCTTAAAATTCTATGTAGCTATTATGCAATAGCAGAAGCTATTTTTACATTCATTTGACCTATGGAAAACTTTACAAAATGTTGTCCCTTGCCTATAGTTAGTGTGTTTTGATTGAATACTTCATGCAGCTAAGTGTTAAGGAACAGTGTCAGAGGCAAAATACCATGTACTTTATTCCTCTTAATTTCTAAAACACAATTATTTTATCTGAAAAACAATTTAACTTAGCATGAAACTGTATTATATTCTGAGTAAACCACTGGACAAAATTAAAGCTTTAACACGGGCTTAAAACATACCTCTTTTCATCATACTTAATTCTTTATTGCACTTTTTAATAAATATATAAATAATACCCAGACCTCTGGTTCTTTGATCTTCATCCAAATAAATAACTGTCCTCCCAGAGAGACCCATGCATGTCTGCATGTAAATATCACCTTCTCCGTGCAGGAGATAGAATCAGTCACCTCTGTGGCACCATTTTCTCTTTTTCGGACACTGTAGAGAAATCTACATGGGGGCAGAACCACACTGGGGATGTTGCAGGCCATGGCCCAGGAGTAAGGCCACATCATTCTCCTGACACCACTGCACAGATTACATGGAATAGGAAATACTGCCTAGTACTGCTGCTACCTTCTCCATTAATCCTTTCTGTGTTGGGACAACCCTTACAAGGAGTTCAGAAGGACAACTGCTGCAGGTGCAGAGGCCTTGGAAGCATGGCTCCACTGATGCCATGATGCCAGGCTGCAGGCTAGGATAAGCTCCCAAGACCCCAAACCCAATACAGGGCCACAAGGACTCTACAAAACTGTCCCTTTAACAACATATCCTTAGTAAGCAACTTAAAAAAAAAAACAATTAGAAACCTTTTCCCTGCTAACATAACTCTAAATCATCTCTGATTTTAAAAATTCACCTTGCCAAGTCCAAAATATGGTTTAAATGGTTGTCCTACTTTGAAAAGGAAAGTAAACAAACTAAAATATTAAACATTGAAAGTGTTATTTTTCTGGGCTCAGTAATGACTTCTCTTAATTTTTTTTTTGTTTTTTTTACAAACTATCGCATTCCACATCCTTGGATACATATTTACACACTTAAATCAGCATTGCTGTATAAATTACATTGCATTGGTTTAGAAAATAGCCTGAGGCATGCTGGATGGCTCAGGAAACGTCATGAGACATAGAACCTTTTACATTTAGGTTTCTGGCTTGAATATGATCCAAAACAGTAGTTATGTGAATGCCTTAATATATGACCACTGATTAGTTGCCTCTGTGCAATGTATTTGTGATCACAGTCAACTTCCGAGTGGACAGACTTCCAGCTCACAGAAACACCATTACATGCATTAGCACTCTTTCTGCAGAGATGCCATGTGCTGAATAGACAGGGAAACTGAACCACTACTCATAGTCCCTGCAGGTTAAGACACAGGGTAAGGATAGATGTGCTATACCTGATTTGGAGGTAAATAGCAGGTGTCAGGCCACAGGGTTGTAAAACCAGCACTTTTTACAATTAAAATTTAAGAAACAACTTGGCTAAATACTTATTTACCTGACACACTGTAATGACACCTAGAGCAAATGAATTAAATTATTTCTTTGTTGCATAAGTGGGTGTAACACAGCCACTTACTTAATGGCCTTGAATAAGGGAATAAGTTAGTTTAAAAACATATTTATTTTTTATTTAAATTTATAAATATCTCCTATGCAGTAAGACTTAGACTAGACTTAGACTTTAAGGTCAGAAGGGACCTTAGTTTATAGTAGAGCTGTCAAAGAAAGCAAAAAAAGTAACCCAGTACTCCTAATGTTTAGGCATAAGCTAAGGATCCCAGCAAACATTGTGTATAGTGTTCCTGAAGAGGAACAAAGATTTGAGTCATTTGGACTATGCAGAAACTATCTAATCCAAAACTGAAAAAAGCGCATACCTTCCCTAGAGAAAATCTGAGGATAGTCTCTGGCAAAATGAAGCATCTATGACGTAGGTCATACGGGGAAACTTTTAAAAGAGGGGAGCTGGTCTGCTTCCACAATACTAGGAGAAAGAAGAGTAGAGAAGCTAGATAAAATCTAGGGAAGGACACTATACGGTACCAACCCAATTAGATGTACTGGATATAGTTGGGAGTTATCCATCTGCAGAGATATCCGGGGACAGGATTTTAGCATAGTTGCCCAATAACTGATAATATAGCTTTGGCAACTGAGGCTGGAATGGTTCTGACAGAGATGAGTTCTCCATTAGAACAAAAGCCAGCCAGTTTCACTAAAACAATAGACATTCCTTGGGATCCTGAAATTCCAGATGATTGATAGGAAGTCAGGCAGAGAGAGAGAACAAGTCCAAACAGGTTTTGATGGAAGTGAAATTAAGTTATGTTAGTGGTGTGAAACTGAAAAACACCATGTAACTAGTTACGCTTATGTCGCTTGTCATTTAAAAATCATTTATTTTCTTTCAGTTTTGGATTGATCATACAGGAACTCACCATTTTAGACTCCATTGAGATGATGGGCAGTGTGGATATGCTGGGGCTGGGTGAAAGCTTGTTGATACTGGTGGCTGTGACAGCCACCCTTCATTCAGGACAAATGTAAAAATGCATGTAAGCGTCCTCTATCAAATCGATAGCTCAAACCATAGGAGCCACCACCCAAAACAGAGGTGACATGCAAGGTGAAATAGGAGTTGGGCTATTTGGTGTAAAGGAGTTTCCCTAGCGACTCAATGCAAATTCAGGTGGATGAATATTTGATGGAGCTGCGTGGAGTGAGTGAGAGAAGGAGCAGAAATACCACAGAAGCACACAACTAAGGCAACAAGGAAGCTCCAGAGACTGCTAGAGATGTACTTGTAGCATGACCCTGAGAAAAAGCTAAGAGAGGGAATTTTTTGGTAGAGAGCTAGTTGAAAGACATTTGGATCTGTAAGCAAATATGTTGTCTCCTGCTGTTTGATCTATACTGTGTTCAGGGAAACAGGACTTTATGTATTTTATTTACTGTCTTGAGTAGCGGATACAAAACTACTCAAGATAGGTAAGTCCCAAGCAGACTGCAAAGAGCTACAAAAGGATCTCACAAAACTGGGTGACTGGACAACAAAAAGGCAAATGAAATTCAATGTTGATAAATGCCAAGTAATGCACATTGGAAAACATAATCCAAACAATACATAAAATGATGGGATTTAAATTAGCTGTTACCATGGCTTAAAGACTTCAAGTTGCAGAGAATCCTCCAGCAAGTGACCTGTGCCCCACACTTCAGATGATGGCGAAAAACCCCCAGGGCCTCTGCCAATCTGCTCTGGAGAAAAATTCTTTCCCAATCCCAAATATCAGTTATACCCTGAGCCTGCAGGCAAGACTTACCAGCCAGACACCCAGGAAAGAATTCTCTGTAGTAACTCAGATCCCACCCCATCTCACATCCTATCACAGGCTATTGAGCATATTTACCGCTAATAGTCAAAAATCAACTAATTACCAAAATTAGGCTATCCCATCATACCATCTCCTCCATAAACTTATCAACTCAAGAAAGAGATCTTGGAGTCATTGTGGATAGTTCTCTGAAAACATCCACTCAATGAGCAGCAGCAGTCAAAAAAGCAAGCAGAATGTTGGGACTCATTAAGAAAGGGATAGATGATAAGACAGAAAATATCATGTTGCCTCTATATAAATCCATGGTACGCCCACATCTTGAATACTCCGTGCAGATGTGGTTGCCCCATCTCAAAAAAGATATACTGGAACTGGAAAAGGTTCAGAAAAGGGCAACAAAAATTATTACAGGTATGGAACAGTTTCCATATGA